CAATGGTGATAAAATTCAATTTTCTACAGTTACTATTTATTCCAGTACCACTGTTCATGCATTGAGAGTATGATGAGAATGAATTTGGTCCTCTTGTTGAAGATTGTTCGGTTTTACTCTGACTCCTACATGCTCTTGATAGATGTCCCTTTTTCTTGCACTTTGAACAGAAAGCTGAACTTCTTATACTACATTAATTGGCAAAATGACCAGGAGTCCACAAACATAACAAGTCCCTTTTGCTTGATTGAGGCTTTGTTTTACCTGATGCATTTCTAGAATGCATTGCTATTGCGCAATCTTCTCCTTGGATTCTTTGGATCCGACTATCCTGGTAATTCTGTAGTCAAGTTCGCAGTTCTGAGAAGTTAGCTGCTGGGTTGAAACTTTCTTGAACCACGAAGTGTTCAAATTTTTCTGGAAGTCCGTTAATGACTAGAGCATTAAATAATGTTTCTGATATATTTTCTCCGGCTTCAGTGAGTCGAGACATTAATTCTTGTGATCATACAAAATATTCGGATATTCGGAACTTTTCACTTTCCCCTAATTGTAATCGAGATATTTTTCGAACTAGACTTACTACAGTTGGTTTTTCTACGTTAGAAAATCTTTGTTGCAGTAGACGCCACTTTTTGCTCCGTCTCCGACTTCATCTGGCGACAAGCAGTCATGTCGTCTGTATAAAAGGCTGTTGTTGTCAAGAGCTAGTGCAATATGACACCATACCGTGTTGTTTCTTTCTTTGATTTGATCAATTTGTCGATTTCTCTCTCGCACTTTTGTTTCCCATTCGGCCCTTTGCTCACTTGTAGCGTCGACTGTTAACGGTGTAACTTCTTGAGGTATGACTCCTCTCCCAAGGAGAGCTTTGTACAAACCTTTCGTTTGCATATATGCAGTAAACTTTGTGCTCCATGCCGGATAGTTCTCAGCTGTTCCATCGAACACAAACCAAATAATTGTTTGACTATCCATAAATACGGTCTTGTACTATTTCTGTACTATTGCTGAGCTATTTCTGGGCTATTCCTGGGCTACCTGGGCTACTCCTGGGCCTATAACCTGTTAGATTATGAACTTTATTCAAAAAAAAGTATCGATTTTACAACAACAAAATATATATGTACAGGAAGTATGTAAAATCGTACGATTGTCACGTGTCCACTGAACTATAGCTAAAGAACTGAAATAACATTAACTTTACAAATTTAATACTCTATGTTATTTGTATCATGTTAACAGTCGCCATGGTTCACCTTCGGTAAATGCGTCAGTGGCTTGTGCCTCCAATTGGATAGAAGGGGGTTGTTTGCTCATGTTTAAACATGGCAGCAGCAACAAGCGTAGTACTATCCGCGGTGAATAATTTGCCAGCAGTCAGCCGCGGCCTACTCGAGCCCAACTTTACGATGCGGGTTAAGGACCTAAACACTGGGGGAAAGAAGATTTTCGTCGAAAGTACCCGGTTTGAGCTCCATTATCACAATGTCGGGCCTGAAAGCAACAAGCTGTACGTTGTTATTGGTGACATTAAGACCGCGCTCAGCATCCTCACAGGGACATACACAGAGGTCGGGCACCTAATCAAAGTTGTAAACCAGACTCAAACCAACGCAGGTCATGAAGGTATAGTCTTTAGCTACGTGCGGGCTCAGAGTCAAGTTCAGAATACGGTGCCGGCTGGGAAGACCTTGAAGATAAAAAAAAGACAGCTCTTCCCTCATCCTCGGCTTAGGCAAGATTGTGGTAGGCAAATTGTGGATGCCGCAGGTGGCTCCTCCGGAATCGTAAAAACCCTTCCTTATGCAGTAGACCTGATCGCGGTTTGGTGGGCAGTCTTCCTTTACACAGATTTTATCCATCCCGCTGTGGAGTATGAGGACAACTCTGACAGCCGGGTCCTCAAGACCTTTCTCGTCAGACACTCGACGGCATTAACAATTATGTGTTTGCTAAGCCCGACTTGCGGCGTCCACGCTCCTACCAACAAGTGAACGAGGTCTCATTTTGGTTGAAATTCAACACTGGAGAGTCATTTCCAAAGGGTATCCGATCTTTTTTTATCTAAGAACCGTTGATATTAATTAATTTTAATCAGAGATTTAATGTGCCAAAAGATATAAGGAGCTTTGAGTTGCCTGCCATGGTGTTGATGCAGCAGCTCACCACGATCTCAGGGGTCAAGCTCTGCGAGGTTTCCCACTACTGGAGTTCAGCGATATTGCCGATGTCTCAATAGACGGATGGAGAGCAATGTCTCGGGAAGCGTTTGTTGACATGGGGAGAAAGAACCTATTGTGCGCAGTGATGGCAAATGGCGGCATTGCTCATTGCAGTCGCTGCCCACTTGTCTGGGGGTGCCATGCTGTCCTGACTAACGTCTGTTTATCGAAGAAGGTTATGTAGAGGGGCTTTTAAAAAGATTAAGTAGGGTATTCGGCAAAGAACCTCTAGCCAATGATCAGAAGGTGCTCGACCTTGTGCCTCTGACTACTGGCTGCGGTCCTGACGATTTCGAAGCTGAAAAGAAGTCGCCTACGACACGTAGTGTCAAAGCCGTCGTCCCGATAAAGCATGGTCGCGTTTCTACTGACAGAAGCGTTGAGGAACGCCTCACAGAGTCGTACCACAGCCCAGCAGGGTGCTGGCGCGGCTCTGCTGCTATCCTAAGGCTGGCTAAAGAGGCTGGCGTCGGCGAGGATGTGACTCATAAATGGATAACAAAACAGGGCATCTGGCAGATCTACTTTGCCCGCACCAGTGCGAAGTACTATCCTCCTACCTAAGTTTGACATCAACACCACGAATGAAGTTTACCAGGCCGATCTTTGCTCTGCCTTAAGATCGAGTCGGAAGACGCACATTCAAATACGCACTGACGGTCGTCGACGTAGCAAGTCGGTATAAGGAGGCCCAGGCAATCACAGACAAGACAGCGACCCCGGTTGGGAAGGCGTTAGATTGATGCCCGTGGGCCTCTTCGATGTCCTAAGGTTTTACAAGTCTACCCTGCCTCGGAGTTCCGCGGAGATGTGTAAAAGCGTGTGAGAAAATGGTATCACGATTCGACGGGGTAGGGTCGGAGTTCATAGAGATCAGGATTTCGTAGAAAGATTTAACCTAACCTTGGCGGAGCGATTGTTTGGTTATTAGTATCATAGCGATTTGACTAAGCTCGGAACTCGGAACAAAGAATCGGTATCAAGATTACCTGAGGTGGTTAAAGCGCTCAATAATGAAGCTACTCGTTTGACGGGCAAAAGCCCTCGCTTGCGACTCGGAAGAAAAGCGTTAAGGCCAAACCCGTTGCGCCGACGCTTTGTCCAGTTGGTTTTAAAGAGCGACGCTTGCCATTGGATGTTATTGTGCGGTATTTTTATTCCCCTGGCAAACTAGAGGGTGGCAAACGGCGTAGGGCGACCGATCCTATCTGGAGTGTGACCTCCCTTCAGGTTGAGCGTGGTGTGGTTGAGGGCGGGAAGCCTGTGTTTTATACTTGAGCGATGAGCACAAGTGCGCGTTTGTGCGCGAGGAGATCCAAGTGATGCCCTTTAAGACCGAAACACCACCGGATTAGTCCATGGGTCCTGTCACGCTTTTATGAAAGCTTTCACTAACAATTAGTATCTTGCGCTTAGCCGTGGAACGGCTTTTCTACTGTGATTATCAGCATAATTACCCATGTTATTTATTATTTATTTGCCTGCGGCACCGGCTTCACTATGCCCGTATGCTAGGGTAGATATCCCATCGGCCGCGATGCAACGCTTCGTGTCCAGCGGGCTTAACAATGTCTTGTTGACATGCTCGCCGAAGATCTGATCCCAGGACTGCGCAGCATATCAATACCGAGGCGGAGTCGCTTTGCTTCACAGAGCGCCTCTTTTTACTGGGCATGACTGATATGCTTTTCCACTACGGCCTTTTTAACACCTTTGGCTTTGCGCTCCTCCAGACCATCGGCTTTTAGGATAGAGTACATCTTGGGCCTGAGCCCCACAAACTCAGCGATAGGCGCCCCAGCGCACTCTTCCTTAGCTTTCCCCAGCACCTTCTTGTTGGCTGTGCTGAACAGAGAATGGTCTTTGGGGTAGTTGCTGGTGTCGTACTGACCGGCATTGGTTTCAAAGTTGACACAGCCAGGAGTGGCTACGGCGACAAGCTCCCGGTGTTTACAAAATGCTCCTTACGGCGTGCGTCTCAAACAGCCTCTGTCAACAAAGTCCAACTCCTGGCCTGCTCGTGTGGCTTTACTTCTTAGCCCGGCGGAACTGCTTTTACCGACAGGAGAAGGGGCGAAGGCGGGTCTCTGGTGCCTTAAAATCAGATGCTTTGGGCAGGTGGTGGCTCGTTAACCCAGGAAGGAAGCTCACCTAGGGGAAGGAGAACCCTGACTCCAAACCGCCGCCGCCTTGCGGTGTACTCGGTCACGGGAAAGGAGACGGATACTCCGAAGAAGAATGCTGCAACTGCTGGGGCCGCTCTACACGTGGCAGCTTCTACACCTGTGGAGCATTGAGCGTCAGTAGGCGAGAGGGTGGAGACGGCATGCACATCCCCTCTTCACCTAAAACATTCACCTGTGCTGGTCAGGCAAGCAGGTTTGCCGGAATCAAATGATGCAACCATTCCTTTTTTGCGCCAGCTATCTCAAGTCCTGTGGCGATGGAGAAATGGAGACGGGAACAGGCCGAGGTTGCTGCTGTAAGTTCTTAGCCACGACTCTGCACGCAGGCGGCTGCAAATTGATGGCCGTCCGCCGTAAACCTAGGGCAGATAGGGCGCCTGTATCCTCTCGCAGTGACAGAGCAGCCCTCATTAGTGTTAGACACTGCTCTCCCCACTTGGGGAAAGGGAAATAAAAGGATCCCTAAACAAAGCCTGCCCTACTTACACCTGGCAAGAACTGCACCTGCCTGGGCATCAAACTAAGCGGTCGTACAACTAAGGATAACAAGACAGGAAAGCACTTAAGCATTGGGGCATGGAACGTGAGAATGCTGTTCGACAGAAGAGACAGACAAGAGCGACGCACTGCTCTAATAGCAAGGTTGCTTAGACAATACCAGGTGGACATAGCCACATTGAGTGAGACCAGACTTGAAGATGAAACTCAACTGGAAGAAGTAGGTGGTGGCTACGCCTTCTACTGCATTGGGAAACCGGAAAATGCCCCAAAACACTCAGGCGTGGGATTTGCCATACGCACTCAGCTCGCAAGGCGACTAGTCAGCTTGCCACAGGGCATCAGCGATCGCGTCATGACCCTGTGGTTGAAACTCTAGAAAGAGTGCAACGCAACAATTGTCAGCGCCTACGCCCCTACAATGGCAAACCCAGATGAAGTGATGGAAGCCTTCTACGAAGAGCTCAACCAGCTACTCTCAAGTGTTGACCGCAGAGACAAACTCATCATCCTTGGTGACTTTAACGCACGAGTTGGAGTTGACTACACCATCTGGCCAAACATTCTGGGTCGCCATGGAGCTGGCAAGTGCAACTCCAATGATCTGATGCTACTATCTCTCTGCGCACAGCACGAGCTAACCATCACTAACACTCTCTTCCAACAAGCTGACAAGCTGAAGAACACATGGATGCACCCTCGCTCCAAACAGTGGCACATGCTGGACTACGTAATCGTCTGCCAGAGGGACCGCAGAGATGTGCACATCACACGCTGCATGTGCGGTGCCGACTGTTTTTTTGATCACCGCCTGCTACAGAGCAAGATGAACATCTAGCTAGCCAGAAAGAACAAATCAGCAAGAAAGAAGCCACTGAGGAAGTTGAATGTAGCTCGCATTCTACCCAGCAAAGAAGAGCTGCAAGAGATGCCAGAGGTAGCCCTGGGAAACATTAACATCACGAGGAGGATATAGATGAAGACTGGACCACTTTCAAAGAAGCCGTCTACAACTCTGCATCGAGTGTCCTTGGATACGTTGAGCGAAAACATCGAGACTGGTTTGACGAGAATGACGCCAAAATCAACAGGCTTATTGACAGGCTCCATAAGGCTCACAGTGAACTTATAGGGACAAATCTTGCGAGAAGAAGAAGCAAGAGTACCAGCAAGGGGGGCAGCATGTGCAACACAAGCTGTAGGAAATTAAAAAGGCCTGGTGGGAAAAGAAAGCCTAAGAAATCCAAGTGGCAGCTGATGCTCACGATTCAAAAAAGGTCCACGATAGGCTTCGCGTGGTATACAGTCCAAAATCGTCAGGCTGTACCCCCATCAGGTCTGCAGACCGAGCGACACTGCTAAAAAACAAAGTTGACATACTTTCACGCTGGGCTGAATACTTCAACAAACTGCTGAATAGAGAGTCACAGATGAACTAAGAAGCCATTGAGTCCCTCCCCACCTGCCAATCCCCAGCTTCCAATCAAAGAGGAAATTCCCGACCCACCCACCAGAGACGAGGTTGCGAAAGCCCTCAAGCAGACAAGGTCTGGAAAGGCTCCTGGGGCTGATGGCATTCCAGCTGACGTCTACAAGAACGGAGGCCAGGCACTGCTGGACAAACAGACATCCCTATTCCAGGAGGTTTGGAAAGTTGCCAAGGTCACCCAGGACTTCAAAGATGCTGCCGTCGTGCACATCTATAAGAGGAAAGGCGATAAGACCTCATGTGACAACCATGGAGGATATCCCTCCTCTGCATCGCAGGCAAGGTTTTGGCCCGAGTTGTCCTCAATAGGCTAATCACAAACGTTGCGAGGCTATCGTCCCTGAATCTCAGTGTGGTTTCCGGGCAAACAGGGAAACTACTGACATGGTTTTCGCTATCCGCCAGTGGCATGAAAAGTGCCGCGAGCAAGACAAGGAAGTCCACATGGTCTTCGTAGACCTAACTAAGGCTTTTGACACCGTTAACCGGGAAGGCCTTTGGAGGATCCTGGGAAAATTTGGGTTTTCAAAGAAGCTAGTCTCTCTGGTAGCCCCCTTTCACGATGGCATGCAGGCAAGTGTCCAGGAAAGTGGGGAGATATCGGACCCATGTGCTGTGAAGAACGGTGTGAAGCAATGTTGTGTTCTTGCCCCCACTCTCTTCTCCATCCTGCTCACAGCGATGCTGCTCGACGCCTTCCGTGACTTCGACAAAGGGGTGTACATTCAGTTCCATACTGATGGAAAGCTCTTCAACCTCAGAAGACTTCAGGCCAAAACCAAAGTCTACGAGGCACTCTTGCGTGAATTTCTTTTCGCAGAAGACTGTGCACTAGCCACCCACTCCCATGAAGCCATCCAGTGCATAACAGACCGCTTCGCAGCTGCATGTGATTGCTTTGGGCTTACCATCAGCCTAGGCAAGACTGAGACCTGGGTCCAGCTTCCATCATCCCAGACTCGTGACACCTCACCACCACCTCCTGTCATAATTAACCACACCAACATCAAGACTGTTGACAAGTTCTGCTACCTTGGCAGCACCATCAGCAACAATGATTCCCTGGACGCAGAGGTAACGCTGCGTATTGCAAAGGCCAGTGCTGCTTTCGGCAGACTAAAGAGAAGACTCTGGCTGGAGCACGTCATCAAGATCGTCACCAAAATTGCTGTGTACAAGGCTGTGGTCCTGAGTGTTCTGCTGTACTGCTGTGAAAACAGGGCCACTTATCGCAGGCACATACAACAGCTGGAACAGTTCCACCAGCGCTGCCTGAGAAAAATCCTCCGTATCATGTAGCAGGACAAAGTGTCAACCTTGAAGTTCTTGAAAGGTGTGGACTTCCCAGCATTGAGAGCTTGATCATAAAAGCTCAACTCCGATGGACAGGCCATGTCGTAAGGATGGATGACAGCATAATCCCAACGATGCTGCTATATGGTCAACTACAAGACAGGAGCCGTGTCCAAGGAAGACCAATGAGGAGATACAAAGACACCCTTAAAGGATACATGAAGAGCTGCAACATAGACCCAAACACCTGGGAGGAGTTCGCGGGAGACAAACTGCAGTGGAAGCATCTATGCTCCCAGGGCGTTTGGAACTTCGAAGCCAGTAGAGTAGACGCCATCTAGGAGAAGGTGGCCCAAAGGAAGCAACGCTCTGCCCCTCTTTTCTCGTACCCCTGCAGCGTTTGCATGTTAAAAAATCGTAAGACATAGTTCTGACCTTTCTTTTAAGAAATGTAAAGGGCACAAGTCATCTTCGCTAATGTAAATTCTATGCTCATACTTTTGTGTCGTGTTCGTACATGTTCCAAAAATAATAGAGATCAAGGAAGCAATTTTTACATAGTGCTTTACATTACTGCACGAGGAAAGACAAGGAGAATGGAATGTTTATTAATGATTTCGAGTAAAAAAAGTGAAATCTTAAAAATCAATTGCTATTAGCCACTGCTTACTTGAATTATTTGGCTTTGATTTTCCTGCTTCATAAGACTGAGCAAAGGCTGCGAACGTACTTTGTACGATTTTCCTGTTTTGCTTACTCCAAATATTTTGCCATTATAGGTATCAAGTACTGATAAAAAAGGAAGAGGCTTTAATAAAGACTTGGCTTGCTTTTTCCTGCAGTATGAACGTACATAACAACAATTTTTGAGTGGTCAACTAACTTAATTAAATTAAAATCACTTAAAAATTCAGTAAAAATCTTATTTTTCATTGAAGAAATCAGTAAAAATAATGTTCAATGATGTTTAAGAATGAAGGAAATGCCGTAGTTTTATAATACCAAACGTTGCGATGTTCTATAATACCAAAATTCAGCGCTCGGTATTAGTCAGAAAAACTGCTAGATCCACCACTGATTTCTGGCAATATGTAATTACATACATTGGCTCTCAAAAATAAATTATCGCACATGCACCAGCAGCAAATCAAAAGATTTTCTCAAAATACAAACAAACTTGTGATAATCGCAAAGTAAGCACTAGCTTAAAATTCAAAATAAGGAAGTGAAAATGGTGGAAATCGATCACGTGACGAGTATAGCCCATTAGCCCTTGCAAATCAGTGAAAAAAACATGTCCCATCTATTACATTAGAGGGCTCCTGAATGCACCGATGAGTTCTATAAAAACTGAAGGGGCTAAGTGGACTGAGGCGATGACACCAAAAGCATAGATGCCAATTGACGAATTGATGCTTGATGAAATTTCAATTCACAAACATGTAAAATGGTCATGAAATTTCTGTTTCTGTGAATATTGAGAGCGAGATGGACGATAACTCGCTGCAACTGGAGTTGTCAACCAGTGAGTTGATTTTCGTAAAGTCATATCATATATATTTTTCCTGTAATATTTGAGTACGGTGTTGCTTAAATGTTACTATTATGTATCTAAAGCATGCCATATTGAAGCCTTAAAGAATCAGCAATGAAAGTTTCAGTGCTATATATTGCTTCTTAATTTCAGTTGTTCCTTAAAGAACATTTTGAGCTTATTTACCTGTTAGAGTGCGGAATGGACATTTATCATTTGCTTTAATTTCTGCTTTTTTAAACAAAGAACCTTTTTTGTTTTCTCGAAGTTATTTCTTTAATTTTTTGCTTCATAATTCTTTTCATATGAATGAGGTAAGTACTACAATTAAATAAGTTTATAATTTCTGAAAATCTGTTAAGCTTCTAGTATTTAAGTGCACAAAATGTGTTTAATTTTATTGGCTTTACCCCTTACTTCATCATAAGTACATTATTAGTCAATCAAATTAAATCCTACAAATTCTAAGTAATATCCTGTAAGTTAATTGCGATCATTGAGATCACCACTCCAATCTTCCTCTGAGTCATCAACGATATCTAAATTGGAATTTACCAAGAATGTTAATTGTAAACCTAAAGCTCCTTTAGGATATCTTAATACGTGCTTTGCTGCTTTCTAATGTGACATGTCAGATTTATTTAGAAACCACAATAGCTGAATAACAATGCAAAAGAAGTCGATATCGGTTTTGTACCAATAATTAGTAATGGAACTAATAAACTTCTGTATGAATTTGGATTCACTAATTTCTTGTCGTGTTTGCATTTGATTAACTTCATATTAACTTCTCCATGTGCTGCAGCTGCTTTACAGTCACTCATATTAAATTGTTGAAAAAGTCAATAGACGTATTTCTTTTGATCAATGATAATCTTGAGAAAACTCTATTGTCTATGTGGAAGGCATTTATACTGATATAAAATTTCGTTCCATGAAAATTCGAGGAAATTTTAACTATATATGGCAACGGGGACTGAATCTTCTAGGTGCACAGATGCCATAAAACAATTTGGTATCATAGACAGGTCACAGACCACAGTGTGTTCACCTTAAAGTAATGATATTCCACAAATGTGTTAAAATATTTCAAATTCAAAATCATACAATGACTCCCAACTTTCTTAGGGCGGACAAAAGTTGGGGGAGTAAATTCACCATGCTCATGGGATGATAGAATTAATAAATTATGATCTTTTTTGGCCAACAGTTTAGTTATTTCATAATCATTAATTTGTTGTTTAGATTCTCTGAATGTATGATTTACTTTTTTGCAAAAAGGAGGGGTCCTTCAAAAAGTTCTATTGTGTAGCACTGAATGTAACAATAATTTCTGTGTCGGATATTTTCCACTCTTCAAGAAATCAAGTTATGTTTCCGGCAAAAAAGTGTATTAATCTTTTTCTGCAATTCGTTTTTAGTATTAAAAATCATTTTGTGATTGAAAACTCACTTTTTGAAACAATGGATATTTAGGCTGGGTGTTACTGATGTTTTTTTTCTGTGACAACTTGCGGTACCATGACCTCTGATTTGGCCATGGTTTCTTCTTCAATAAAAAATGCTTTCTTGGATTGTTCTGGCGAGGCCCAGATTTCAACGCATTACAGGCGTGATTGTAATTGTTTTATATCCCCATGTATAACCTCCATATAAGCAAGAACCGGTCAGAAGTGGGCCTCTGTGTTTACCCGAAAAACTCTTCTTCTATAGCTGGAATGTCATCCTCCTCGAGATCTGATGTATTATGGTTTATTTCGATATTAAGTGATTGTTAGCTCGTTACAGATATGTTGTATCTCTTAATGTATGCTCACACAGCAAAGTGTCTTGTATGACGGGCAGCACAAATTGTGTCCACCCAAATAAGTATTTTGTCGGTACAATTTACCATTTTCAACAAAGTATAATTCGCGTCTAATGTGAAGCAGAATCAAACGAACACTGATGATGTGAACAGGCGAGTGCTATCTCATGTGACTTTGTCACGAAGTCACCGGTGACGAAATAAAAGCAAAATGATACTCACGTGTAAACAATCTACAAAGGCTTTAAACTATATTTCTCAATAATCAATATACATATATTGTCTTTATATTGTAAGCGTTAAGGTATTTAAGGTAATTAGAAACTGTAAACATTATTATGTGATATATTTCTTGCATTTTTCATGTATTGATTGTAAGTAATAATGTTGCAAAATATTGACTATTCAATTTTATGATCGATGCACTCGCATTATTTGCATGATCCTGAATCCACCCCTGGCGAAAAGCAGTATATTTAAAAGTATTTGGGGGTGTGAATATAAGCTGCAATGGTTTTAACTAAAGGTGAAAGTGTATATCAACTATTGAAAGAGAAATGTAGACGTAAACAATTGTTCTTCAAACTTCTTGAGCAAAACTACACCAGCCTAAACCAAACAGCCAATAAGAATTTACAGCATTTATTAAAAGTTCAACTTGTGAGATATTACTGTAAGTC